ATTAGCCAAACTTTGAGCAGATAAAAATGATGGGCGAAGATTTGTGGCAGTTATCAAAAAGCATATGCAAGGTTATGGCTTGAAAATGTAATCATGGGAAAGAGAATGACAAGCTGCATCGAATGCATGTTGATACAGTTTGGGTCTTTACTGTGACTGTTTTATAGCCGTTTGAAAAAACCGAAAAACTTCCGGGACAACCTAATATCTCAGAGGTGTGTTTCAGATAAAAATTATGTTGGCTATCGTTCTATAGCATATGAAAAATTCTCGATGATATCAAATAAAGTGAATTAGCAGAGGTTGAGTTGATTGGCATTGCTTTTGAGTCCATAATGGAAATCTCACCTCATTGTCTCGAGGGCTGATACACACATGCCGATTTCTTTCAGGTAAGCGATTGTTTTGCGACTGTGTTTGCTGTGTTTCTAACTGTTGTAGCTGTTGGTTTCCTTGAGACTGTTGACCATCTAACTGCAGTGCTTCCTGTTGTTGTTGATTTGCTTGGAGTTCTTGTCCTTGTGATTGCTGTGGCTGATTATTTACTTGCGATCCATCGTAGTAGTCGTAAAGCAACTAAAAGTTGGCGATTTCAGAGAAAGAAGGGCTTTCTAGGAAAAATTTAAACTTTACATCAGTGTCTCCTTCTCCCTGTCCCTGAGGGGCGTCGTAATAATAATAATATTCATCCTCGTCATCTTCATTTCTCTTCGGCTTCTTGCGACCTTTTCTTCCTCTTCGTCGTTGCTGTGGTTGTCTTTGCTGTTGTGAAGCAGGGTTATTAGGGTTAGGGTTATTGTTGACCTGTGGTTGCGCCTCTGTATTTTGGGTAGAGGGCGCCACTTGCGACTGAGCATTCGCCTGGACTGCTGGTGCCATATTCGGGAGAGCGTTAGGGTTCGTCAACACCGAAGTTTGCGCTTGATTAAAGGTAGGTAAAACAGGCTGTGAGTTAGGGGGTAAAGCGGAGGGCTGGATAAGCTCAGCTAACTGCGGAAAGCCTGCTACTTGAGCAAGCTCAGCTGGTTGCGGCAATCCTGCTGCTTGGGCAAATGCAGCTGGCTGGGGTAGTCCTGCTGCCTGTGCTTGCGCCGCGAAAGTATTGTACAAAGAGCCAATAGGGGTGGCGAAAGTTTCAGGTGATGGTACAGTGGAAAGGCAACCGAATGTGTGGTCAGTAAAGATAATGACGAGGAGTGACAGCATGACTTTCGGTGACAACGCATCATTGCGCTTATATATGTTAGCGCAAAAACCCGGTCAGTTAGACGATACAGTCGAGAAAACTGTTTAGCAACGTGTTGCAATGGACTGCCAACGTTCCATTAGCATGCCAAGGTTAGCAAATCATTTGCACGGGAAAATTTGACCCAGATCATAGTGGTTATGCTCATAACACAGATTAGGAAGTCGAGAAAGATATAGAATTATTCAATCATTGATCATTCAATCAATCAATCACTTAATCACTCACATAAAGCTTTAGTGTTGTCATATTACCGCACGTATTCGCTTATTATATGAATTTCATATTCTTCAATAAAGTTTGGCTACGCTAGCTGAGATCTGAGAACTGAGATCGCTAACTGAGCAAATGAACATGACGTGCCTGGTTATACAACCAAGACGCGGGCAACCACCAATCAGATTATTAGATCAAGCAACTCAATCGACAAGGATACCAGCAAATTCAATTCTTGTATGAACATTTCCTGAATCGCGACATAGATGCGAATCCTTAGCATATGTACCTAGTCAAATTATTAATGTTCAAGTTTGAAACACCACCAGCTTTCATCATTTGCTGGTGGTCAAGCGTGATGTGATACTGCTTATCCGATGCTTACGATAAAGCAATAAAGTATCAAAGAACTTGATGCGAGTTGCGCAAGCAGAGAAATATACGCACCCATGCGAAACCGTCGCAAATCTCTTATTGGGTTCATTGTCTGGGATTTCTAAACTTATATAGGACATTAAGAGTTAAAGTTTTCTCAAGAGAGGTAACGCACTTTCTAATATGTCCCGCATATTCCAAATTTTTCTAAAGCAAAACTTGCTTTGAGTCCTGAAAAGAATAACCCTCAACTCTACAACTCTTTCTCTACAACTCCCAAACATTTATGTAGTGGGTGATGAATGATTCCAGTTGCTTTGGCTTTTATCTGAGAGGGACACAAAATTTTGACCACTTGGCATCAATCGAAGAGCAAATTTTATTCTTGAGAAATTACACGTTTTGGGAC